TATTGCTTATGCTATTCCTATTTGTTTATTTTTCAAGGTCTCTGGGATGCATTTTGTATGAGATGTGCTGTATGAACCATGCATTTACTGGACAGAATTTTTTGTCTGTTGTGATAAAAATTGTGGAAGGTGATACACCTTCTCTTCCTGATAGATATCCAAGCAAACTGAATGCTCTGCTCTGCAGGTATATTATTTTCTTGCTTAGCAGGTTTTTCAGTTAGTTTGTAAAATCGCTGAATTATTAATTTTGTTTTTTAATGTTCCAGCATGTTAAATAAGAATCCTTCTTTGAGACCAGCAGCAGCTGAGATCCTAAAGACCCCTTATATTGATGAACAACTAAAGGTGTGTAAGGAAAATTGATAGCTGTACACTTACCATTTGAGTATGCATTTTGCAAAAACAGAAGGGAAACAAGGAAAACATGTTGAGAAAAAATACTTAGATAGCATTTCATGGGAACATTAATCCAGGGGACTTTCTGAGCTCTATTACAAATATGACTGAGGGAGTAAGGCAGTGAGAAATGAAGCCCTTGTCACTTGATATGCTGAATGTATCTCCTCTTAAATGTTATGAGCAACAAGGAAAACAGAGATTTATGTGTAGCAAGTGCAGATCATTTAGGCCTGGGAATATATATATATATATCTAAACTGTTCTGGTTAGTAATAATTTTAATAAAAACCAATACATCTTGCTCTTTTGGCTGCAGGGTATATATTATTTGGCTTTAGAAGAAGGTGGGGAAGGAAACTGCGTATTCAGGTTTTACATCAGGACTGTATTGGGTCATAGCTGAAGAGTCTGGATAACTTTAGCATCAACTGTTGACAACCCTTCTATTTTATTTCCTTGCAGAAAATACAGTTTGAGTTCACAAATATGACTGTGAAAGAAAAGGCATTTAACTGGCAGAAAGATACTGCTCCCGTTTTTGATGCTGTGTAAGTATTTTTACCAGTTTTATAGGCGGCAGTATATGAAACTTCAGTGTTGCCAAGTAATATAATTAATATTTCTGTTAATCTCATAGTGCTTTATATTCAGAGGGACCCATTCCCCAGAAACACAGAAGAGAAACCACATTAGTGAGGCACATAATTTGTGGATCAAATATTTTTATTATATGACTGTGTGAATTGTGCATGCATGTGTAGTATATCCTTATGTTAATTTAGTACAAATTGGTATGTAAATTATGACCTTTGTCTTTAAATTTTGAAGGTTTAAGTTGTCATTTTAGTTATGTTAGGATCGTTTATAGTGCTTCTGTCTCTGTACCTGTTAATAATTGAATGTTAAAGCTATGTTTCCTAAATGACACTAAGCTAAAAAGCATAAGCTTAAACTAATATTCATCTAATAAATTTTAAGGATACTATTATATTTGTCTTGTAACTATAGTGAGAAATTAAGGCTAGTGATATTTCTTGGCTCTAACATCAGTAGTGTCTTTGCACATAATCTCTCTCTTAGGCACTGAATATATATTAAATTATTTAATTGCATTAAATTACAGTGCTGCAATGTTTAAAGCAAATGTCTGCACGGGCAATTTAATTTTGCCTTTGTAAATTAGCTCTGCAGTTTCATTGGCAGCTGGATCTCCCCTTTGCTTCCAGTCCCTGAGTTTTCTGTACAGGTTTTGCTCAGTTAGAAGCTAGCATGCTCAGAATCAGGAGTTTGTAATCCTGTGAGGAAGCAATGGACGTCCTTGTTTCTTGTTTCCTCTGAGTAACTTTCATTTCTTTAACAGCTATCTGAAATTTCTTTTGATTGTTAGGGAACAGAAAAGAAACCCACACTCCAGTCCAGGATTAGCAGTGCTTTTGAGTTGATAGGCCTTTCCCCTTTGGATTTTTGTGACCTCTACTCTTGGACCAGGACCCACAATTTTGCAGTTGTGGTCACTTTGCAGGTTCTGCCAATTCTGCTGCTTGCAGTCATCCCTTCAGAAGAGGTGACCCTCTTCAGCTTTTCCAAATAAAGTGTTGTTTACTATCACTTAAAGGAAGAAAGCAGAGTACAGACAGTTGAACTCACTCAGCAAAATCTTCTGTACATCATTTTACCCAGTATAATTACTGGTAGTGTATCTGTAGGCTCTCATCTCTGCAAATTATGGTTTGGGTTTCTGTCCTGTTGCTTCTGTCTCTTGTTGACAGATAAGTCTCTGTCTTTTTGTGAGAGCAAAGCTCTCCGTTTTAGTGTGAATAGGTACCTTTAGTATAAATAGGTTGTTGAATTTTACAAGCATTGATGTGAAATCCAACAGTATGTATTCCATATATTCAAGTTGTTTCAATTAACTTTGAGAAGACTCCTTCCTTTTCAAATTAAGTACAGTTAAGTACAGAGAAGTTCCACTGAGATGTATCATAAATAGTTTTGGGGCACTGAAATCTTGCCCAAATATTATGCCAACAGTATCTGGATTATATTGAGTATTTAATGCTTACTGAAACATAGACTATGAGAATCTCCAAGAAACTTTTAATCCATGCCTTTATCTTGTGAGTGCAAGATTTCAGATTTTCTATGTGTACCAAAAAGATTGCAGCTGCTTTAAGGAAGCAGCATTGTTACCTGCCCAATATATACTCTGACTTAAAATACCCCCATGCTTCTAGAACAGACTGATAAAACCAATTTCTATTGTTTGTAAGTTCTATACCTGATGCATTGTCATTATTTTGAATATATTCTGGTTTTATACATTTATTAAAACATTCTGGTTTTATTTTTTATTAAAAGAAAACAGAAACTAAGCTGCTGCCATACAGAGGTCCAGAGTTCCCATAAATTGAATGACAACTGCTTTTGTTTGAGCATGGAAATTTACCTGGAAATTTTAAAATTCAAGGCGTAAATGTGAGGAGAAAAAAAAAATCCTAGGAGAAGCTTCCCTATAAATTACCCTCACATGTGCTACAGTCTGATTATTTTTGTCCAAATATTTGAAATATGCAAAAATTCATGATCTTATCATGACTTTCATTGTACTTATGAGAACACTAGCTGTCTGTATTGCTACATAATGCAAAACGCCAAATAATTTCTGCAATTCCCAGATCTAAAGAGGTAGGTAAAATGAACTAAAAGAACCTGAAAAAAAATGATAGAGAGTGGAAAAGAAGAGGAGAAAAAATTTAAGCGTAGTGAATTCTCCACATCTACTGCAATGGATCAATACTCTGGTCCCAGTGAGCGTACAAAGTTTCTTGTAATGGTGTCCTCTGCAACTATTACTACTTTATATTTAAAATTTTTTAAAAACACTAAAATATTACTTTTTTCTCACCAGGAATTCTTTTAGCCATTTATGGTTAACTCTAGTTTCTTCTAGTAAAGACCTCTGATGGCTTACTTTATTCAGGTCCCATGCAAGTTATAAATTTTAAATGTTTAAGTAAGCATGAAGTTGTACAAGTTCAGCTTTGACTTGAATGAAAAAATGTGTTGTTTTTTTTTTTTTCCCCAAGAGATTCTTATAATTTAAATTAGAGATTTTACAGAGGACAAGAAATATGTCTACATTATTCATACTTGAAGAGTTAGTTCCATTCTTATGAATAATTGAACTCTTCTTGTCTGTGTCCTTAATATTTCATATTTCACACTAATATTCATATCTTTGCATTATTTGAAAAGCATAATGAAATGTTCTCTGCTCATTTATTAAAATCCTGATTTCAAAATGATAGTCCAAAAGGAGTGTTACAATTTGTATGGTTACAAACCTGGCTCTTAGATTATCAGAAGTGAATTTATCTCATAAGGGCAAAAATAGTAATTTGAAATTAATACTTGTAATCATAAATACATGACAAATATATATTGGTGTAAGTGAAAATGACTGCCAAGGCATTTCAAACTATGATTGAATTTCTATAATTGCTGTAGGATATGAGATAAAAATCTGAGGTTAGTATCCTTTTTTGGGTAAAGGACTAATATTGCTCTCCTCTGTTGATAAATACAGCTGAAATACGTAAGTCAATAATTCATGCTCACCTTTCAGAGATGGTCTATGGACACCATTTCACCAGTGAATTGTTATTATCGATTAGGACCAGAAACTCAAAAGGACAACATGATAATTATATCTGTCATTAAAGACTCATTAATATTCTCCTTTATTCTAGACAGCTTGTAACAATCAATGTAAAATGTACAAGCAATATTGCTTTTTTCTGTGGCTCTCATTTAGAGACTGCCTGTGTACTTTGAATGTGTCCAATAATGAAGCCTGACAGGGTAAATATTTCACTGTGCTTCAACATTTATTCTTCTAGGGAGATGATTTTACCTTTTCCATCCTCCCCTGAAATGATTCACGTTCTTCACAAATCCAAGTTTAAGTATTTCAATTTAGAAGAGGCTTTACTGCCCAAACTAAAGTCTATTTAGTCTGTTATAGTTCCACTGATTTTCTAATTATTGCATTTGAAATGTCACTATGTTTCAATATCAAATCAAAATAGTGAATATTTACATTTTTATATGGAGACGGGTTTGCACATGTTTCATTTCAGGCGGAGGAAAGTTCATTTGCAAACTCTGCAGGAACTGTCTGAAGTGCAGAAAATGACACCACGGGAACGAATGCGACTGAGAAAGTTAAATGCTGCAGATGAGAAAGCAAAGAAGTTGAAGTGAGTTGTGCCCTAACCATGGAATTTTCCCCATCCAACACTCTAATGAGAGAGTTAGAATTGTCAAGGTAGAAATAAAAATAGAAAGGGTCTTCAGGTACTCAAAGTGAATGGGCATTTTGGATGACAGTAAATCACAGTAATTATTTGTGTAGGAAAGAAGTCGGAACATTAGCCCAAAACTGGTACTTTGAGCACTGTGTTTCTGGTTAAATAAGTATATGAGAGACTTTCAGATGTGTTACAATACGAGACCTTTTTTTACTGACTTGTTATTTTAAGAGTTGAATGGTCTGAGGAGTTGGACATTTAGTTACAATCCAGCTTTTGTAAGTTGTTTCGGCCTCAGAGGTTTTCCGATAAAAGTTAATAGCTCAGAGAATAGTCTTATCAAAGGATCAAACAGGGGTAATAGTCGTGTTATAAAGGCTTTATGATTTCTGTTTTTTTATTAAGGGAGTGAGACATAATAAATGGTTTTGGAGGACATTATGTACTGATTCTGATGGAGTATGAGAAACAGCTGGAAGGCTATATGTCTATGCATGTTGGTTAGTTTTGTTTATCTTTTTTTTTTCTAACCAGAATATACTGTTTTGATGACACATTTGATATTTTCCCAGCTAAAAATATTCAAATATACAATTTGGTGTGAATGAAAATTGGAAGAGCACCACAGTAATTTTTTAATTAATTTTTAATGTTTTTTTCTAAAACATTTTTCAAAGTGCAACGTAAATAAACAAGTATTTATTCAGTATTTTTAGAGGGTAATCGAGGGAATAGTTATTTTTGATCATTAAAATTGGGATCTTAACCCTGTTGTGCCAAAGCATGTCAGCAATTCGGTAAGACAGTGATGTCCTCGTACAGAAAAATATTGTGTGCTGACATGAAGTTGGAATTTATGGCCTCAGAAACACTGCAGCTACATATACCTGCAAATAATAGTAGTTGCAGTTGAGCAAGTGTGTTCTGTAAAATCACATCCTGATAATACTTGAGCTACCCTTGTGACCCCCATGCCCAAAATCTAGAAACAAAGAACTAAAGGCCTTCACGTCCTTTTGGAAAATATTGTCTGAAGGCCATTTGTGTCTGACCGAAACCATTGCATTTGGTACATACATTTATTCTCATTTTAGAAAAAAACCTCCTTGAATTGAAACCACTGTATAAAAAGTATTAAATTTAACACCTCTTCTACCTGGTGTTTTCAGTGATATAGTAGGCCAATTCTAGTACCAATATGAAATTTATAAATAGGATGTCTGTCTCACTTTTTTGAAATGAATGGAGATTAGGAAGTAATACTAATTGCAGGATAGATCTAGTTTGCCTTTCATTTTCTTTGCTTTGCTTTTCATTTTCTTTGCCTTCTTCCATTTTGATGTTTTCTATCGAGATTTTCATTGGGATTTTTTTCCTCCCAACAACAAAATTAAATGTATTTGTTTTGTAATATAAAGGCAACATTAATATTCAAACCTTGTCAGTCATTAATCATTAAAATGGATCTACATGGAGCTCTAGATTATTCTCAGCTACTCTGGCTGAAAATATTTGAAACAATGCAAAAATTATACCTTCTCAGACTGGAGATCTGCTTTCAGCAGTGCAAATCTAGACATGGATGGGAAGGGAATATAGTAAGAGGAACTGGAAAAACTGGAAAACTCAGTGCTTAATGTAGCTTTTAGTGCTTAATGTAGCACATGTCTTCAGTAGTTCCATACAGAAAACCACAATTACCAACTCCCCCATATGAAGCATTCAAAGCACACACAATGTTGCATGCCTGTCTACAGCTGAAAGGTCCCTGCACTACACAGTGGAATAAAGCCCAAAGTATTTAAGACCTTTAGAAGAAATAAAAAAGACTGGGGCTAGTAATTTACTAATTCTTAATAGTATTATGCAAGTTGTGAAAATAAAATATAACAGTGTTTGGAAATAAGATATGAAATCTCTTCGAGTTCATGAAAGCCAACCTTCTCTTTAGTACATGCCATGAATGTGGAATCCACTTTTAGAAGATCCCTTTGTGTACACCCTGCTATTACATCCTAAACATAAGCATTCTGTATTTACAGACAGCTGGCAGAAGAAAAATATCAAGAAAATGTCAAAAGAATGCAAGATTTCAGGTCCCGTAATTTTCAGCAGCTGAATGTCAACATCCTACATGTAAGTATTGGCCATTGGTTGGGAGGCCTCATTTATGTGCATCCAGTTTACGACACTTTTCTGTTTCCCACATGCTTTCTTTAGCACTAGAGGCACAGTCCTATTCTGATCAAAGTATGGACTGCTTAGTTGAACCTGTGGATCTGGGGTGAGGGAAAGTGCATTCAGTTATTCAGATATGGTTCAACAGGCTCTCTATTCATTTCTTATTCAAAATTTCTTATATCACCCTTAAACCTAAATCTGCTCTCTGAAATTTTTCTACTGACTATTGTGGCATCAAAGTTCAAAATACATTCATTTTCAAGATGTTTAGAGTTGTAATCCTTTTAACACTAATTTGGCATGGCTGGGCATTCTTTTCATTTGGTTGAGAATATTAACACTTCAGCTGGCTTTTTAGTAAAAACGAATCTTGGAATGACTCCCAGTGTAAGTTGTTCTTTGCTTTTAAACTATCTGTAGCAGAAGGTGGACTTGTGCAATTCTAGCACCATATCTTATTGTAGAGAGAACATTGTCCATTTGGAGACAGTCAATTAAAGCATCACAGAAATAATGAGGTTTTAAGTGCTTTGTCTTCTACCTTTTCTTTTGCATACATTCCCGTTTCTATTTCCCATTGTGTCTGGGGGAAAAAAATATGTAAAATTTGTCTCTGCTTATGGCTGAAACGTTAGGATTTTATTTTAGTATTTGCCCAATAGAAGCCCCAGCAATTGTGTAGATCAGGGCAACCTTTGTACTGAGATCTCGCTGAAAGCTCTAACTGGACCTGTTTCTCCATCCTGCTTCGTCACTGGACTAAGGAATCCCACGAGCAGACTTCAAAACACCTCATTCATTCTCAGCCAGTCGTTACATGTGACTACGTGTCCATAGGACATGATGAACCACCTGGAAATGAGACAAGTGAACTCTGCGTGTCTGAAGCTACAGACCACGGTAAGAATTCAAAATTTAATGTTGAAATGAAAATTCCTATCAAGAAAGCAAGATTTGTCCCTTGTAGCTAAAGTGTGGTGGGGAAACTGCAGTTTAAAAAGTGGTCAGATTTGTAAAGTTGCCAAAAAAATTACAAAAAGAAAAGGAAAATAATCTAGGTGGATGTGTGTACAGCAGATGTACAGCAAGGTTACGTGGCAGGAGATCTGTGTTCCCAAAATTTGAGTGACCCGTAAGCAGAAATGGACATGACTGTACTTCCTCCAAAATGACATGCTGAATTGTAAGGAAATTGCTTAACCTTTACACATGTGAAATGACTGGTGTTGGAAAAACACTTCCTAAATTATCTCTCCAATGCAAAAATGAATACAAGAATTCAGAGTGTTTGCACCTTTCGTACATTTTGATGCCATTTTCTCTGTGTCTTTAACAATGAGAGAAGATGGAAATGCTTTAAACTCTTCTTATCTATACTGTCCTCAAATAATTAGCTACTGTCTAAAGAATATGAAGTACTGGATAACATGTATTTTTCTGTAATAGACGAAAAAATAGTCAAGATTTTCAAAAAGGGTCAGACTGTGGAAATGCTGTGCTTAATGAGTATTTTTATGATCACATTTATATGTTTTGTTTCTGCAATGTTCTGGAATAACATCTTAGTCTTAGATATTAAAAAATCATTGTGTAAGCACTATTATGGTGAAAGATTTTCAATTGGATTAAAATCTTGCAAGATGCATTAAATACTTTTAAATATGAACTATTTAAAAATTTAAAAATATAAAAAAAATTTTAAATATGAAAACCACTTTAATAGCATCTGTGAAGGTACATGTTGTTAAAGTAAAGGCATCAGAATCAGTTTGTTTGTGGTAGAGGTGTTTGGGGTGTTTTATTTTAAGAGCAAATGGCTTTTTTCTTTCAATGTACCCTCGTTTATGTCTGTGTAGTTGCCTTGCTGTTTCACAGTAGGAGGAGAGATGACCTGTGTAGGAGAGAACACAGCTGCTACAAATACATCCTGGGGGGGAGGGTGGGGAAACGTCCAAATAGAGGAGCGAGAGAAAGCAGTAAACGTGGGTGGGAGATGCATACAAAGATACCTAAATAGAAATAGAACAACATGCATGAAAGGAAAGAAACTGATGTTTCTGCCTTTAGAGGTCATTAAACTGTTAAAGCGTAATGACAGAAATGAGATGCATTTATATCTGTGATGCAAAACTTGGGTCAGTCCATTGTACAGAGCTAAATGCATGCTTAATTGCTTTTTCCAGAGTCTCTGATGTGGAAGTGGTGGGTTCTGACAAAAAGGTTTTGTGGAGAGGTATCACAAATTACATGGTTTTTCTTCTTTGCTTTGTGAATACCTTGTTATTCCTGGAACTGATGTTGAAATTCTTACTTACTCTATTCAGTATTCATACTCTTCTTTTCTTTAAACATTTCGGTGCAACCATGCATGTCCTACATACCTAATTATTAAGTTATTAATTGCATATTTGTATTTGAAAATGTAGAAACTGTTCCAGCTGTTGATTTTCCAATAGAATTTTGTTCTTGAGCAATGGTTATACAATAATAAAACAAGAAAACTAGAAGGAAGGCTGTAAAAGGGTTTTAGAAAGTTGTCTTACATGTTAATAAACCTTGCTAAGCCATACTAAGTTAGCAGAAGTAGACTATGAAAACCAGAATAAGAAGCTCCCTCAGTATAACTAATAACTAAAAACTGTTCAGGAAGGAGAGAAAAGGCAGGAACAGCTCATAAATTATTTCAGGGCTGACCTGAAAAAATCCTCTCAGGAATGGGAGAAGCTGGGGGTAACAGTTAGGGATAGAACCCCAATCCCAACAGGTATGGAGGAAAGGTCAAACTATCTTTGGTTCATAAACTGCAGTCCTAAAAAAATTTGCAACATGAGCAAAAGAGAAGAGCAGGTCTTGGAGTATTGAAAGACCGGGTTCTTGAAGAATTAGGGAAGGGAATAGGGAATAAAACACCTTATACTCCTCTTTCACTGAAAATTATCTCCAAGATTATGGTATGTCATTGTGGAAGGTGTCAAATACAAAGCTCAAGGTTTAGCTTTAGTAAGTAGTTTTAAAAACTGTAGCATCTTGATCCAATTATGGCAGTGGTAGTGTGATGGTTTGGACTTGGCTTCCTGCCAAATGCCCGAAAGTTATGACAGTAGCTTCCTTTCTCCTTCCTTTCTTTCCTTTGGTTAAAGGAAAAGAAACTATAAAAATTAAAGAACCCAAAGTCAAGCTGCTTATGTAAAAATATATCTATATTTACGTAAATTACAGTTATGTACAGTTAAGATGTTATATACACAGTAAAAGGGGGTCCACCCCCCTGCAGGGATAGGGAAAGGGAAAAAAGGGGATAAAAGGGAACAAAAGGGACACTGATCAGGTATACTAGATTAAATTATACTAATAACTAACAAAATAGATTTCACCGCGTTCTTTAGAACAGCAGGATTGGCAGTCACAGTCAGTACTTTCTAAACCTCCACGTGGTAGGACGGTGGACTTTGCAGGCCTCAGCCTTAGATAAGTGAGACCAACGCAGGGACTTACTGTTCCCAAACCTCGCCGGAAGAGCAGAGAGAGCAAGGTCTCTAATTTCCGACATTTATATTCTGGTTTACGTAAAAATTGTATGGAATACTGGGTACTTGGCTATTTTCTTGGTTACAAACTGGTCACCAGGAAGGCTTAGACTAAAACCATCACAGGTAGTTACACATAACTGAAAGTTCAGAAAAACAAGGTAGTGTAGTTAGATAAACAAAAATCACTATGACAGTTTGGGGTTTTGGATTTCCCAGTGGACAAGTTTCAGCAATGTCAAAAGCATTCAACTGCTGTAGACTTCCCTGGGAAGGTTAAGCTTCTCTCCATGTTTGCTTTATGTAATCAGCAATGATATTCTTAACATTTTTTATTCTAAATAGTATCCTTGTGCACTTGAGAGTCACCAATAGCTGTCCAATTTGTTAGTCTTCAAGCATGTTTGTTTTCTGGAACGTGAAAGATGTGAGTGGACCCTGTGCTTTTGATGTTGAGTTGAGCGCAGTCTATTACAGAGAAGTTTCATCAAGATTTTTAATGGGGCAAGTTCTTGAGAAACTTAAAGAAATTGTCTGATTCTTACAGACAAATGATTCATGCAATGTCAATACTGTTTTTTAATGGCAAAAATGTTAGTTTTTCAACACTGTGTTCCTTACTATGGCATCCAGCAATCTGATGCAGATTTATTCTTCCCTCAAAGAAGGCTGGAAGGGCTGTTCAGTCCTGTGGGACTGATTGAGAGCACAGTTTTTAAACGTGGTTGTTCAGATATCACTTGCAAAGCCACACCAGCTTACGACGGCTTGTGTACCTTGGGCGGCTGTTGCCTTTCTGCCTTTTGACTTCTGAGATTTCAGGCACGTGTTCTGCAGCATCCTTCATGCCTCAGCAGAAAATAAAGAACTTGGGGAGGGGGAGGAGATCAAAGAAACATGAAGTTTTGCAGATAGAAATAATTTTGAAATTCTTCTGTGCTTGTGTTGCTTCAGCTTGAGACGAACGGGTTCCAGTTCTAACCTTGGGAGTGGGCAGCAGTGAAAAATTATGTGAATAGCAAGTCATGCTATTTTTGTTGTAATAAGCCAAGAGATGAAGCTGTGCATTAAATATACATATTTCAGAGATATTATCTTGGCTTCTGTTGGTGCTCTGCTAGACAGGCAATGCTGTCCCTCAATCCCACGACTTTCTAACCGTTCCCTTCTGTTCCATGGAGAAGAATACAAGCTTCAATTTGACCACCAGGTCCAGACTGTGACTGCTGTAGGAATCCACTCATACTGTTCCATTCCTAAAGGGAGCTGTTTTATGCACTTTGGAAAGTTCTCCACGCTTCCCTGTGTAGGAAGCTGTTCCTGGCCTAAACTACTGTGGTGTTTATGAACCTCCTTATTTCTGGCTTAGACTTACTTCTGGCTGTTTCATGCCAACATTTTTAAGAGGCATTGCCTTATTGCCTTGCAGCTTAGGTACTTCCTTCCTTTGCTTATTCTCCTCATGTTTTTACAGGCAGCAATAATATCCTGCTGTGTATAAACCTCTATATAACACTTTAGTATTTTTTGTACGTTTTAACAGTGATCACTTTTAGCCTGCCTGGATCTTTGTTCCTTACTCATTCCTTAAAATGATTTCTAGCTCCTACCTCCAAATTAACAATAGACTATTTTGGTCTAATTGGAAACAAACTTTAAAAGAAATTGTATTTTGATAATGAGATATCTATGGAAAAATATTTTATAGTTGTGTTTATTATTCACTGAAAAATGTAGATGTCTCCATTTTATGTGTCCAGGAATTTATGTAATTGTCATCATACAAATAATTTAACACTAGTGCGGATAGAGCAGTTAAGAATATATTGACCTACAGTGAATAATTTTAGTTTACTGTAGGTATCTTTGTGTCTCTTCCACCTCCAGTTTCACCAAGTACAAACAAGAGACAAAAGAGTTGAATGAAGATTTGTATTGAGATTGTTCACAGAAACACTGAGCCACTGTCAGTGTTAGCTGCAAATATTTGTGTGTTGAAAATATATGTGTCTGTATCTCTAAATTTCATTTGTTTTTAAGGAGCAGTAAAATGGAATAGCTAACAATTCCCTTTGTATTTTAATTTAGATTTTTTTTGTTTTCTGCTTCATTTCTCCAGCTCATTTTATTCAACAATTATTTCTGATTGTTAAAAAGACATATTTTGCAAGTCACGGCAATGACAAAGAAATGGGCAATGCAAAATGTGTCAGGATAAACTTGTGCCTATATTTCCACATTCTTGCTGATACTTACCTAGAAAATAATTCATCCTCTCTTATTATCATAAAAAAGAAAAGATACTTTGCAATGAATTGCTTAACATCACCTGCCCCCCATCTCTTGCCCCATTTTTATAGAAACTGTCTCCAT